GATGCGGATATTCATTAGAGCCACATTTTTACCGTCTTTTTATAATGTGGTGATTCACTTCCTAAGACCTGAAAATACTTCTTCATTAACCTCACACATCATCCTGTATAAAATGGCAACACAAGGAGGCAGGCAGAAGCTGAGTGACTTACCCGAGGTCCCAGAGCAAGCTGGGCAAGGTACACGGACACCAGCTTTTGAACCCGAGCCCATATATTTTCACCTCTGATTGTGGACTTTAGGGCCCTGGTTGACCAAGTCTTGGCCTATTTGATGGAGGTGTGGCAATTCTGGATCCCCTTGTTTTCAGAAATTGGTTTTTAGAACTTCTTACTTTTTAATCCATCCCCCAAACAGAAAAGAACGCCCAATAAAGACCCAGTTTAGTTTGAATCATCCACCATGATCTTCATTTGGCTTAAAATATAGAAGTTTTCAGAGCCTCCATTCAAAACTCTAAAAATATCCCTCTCTTTTGATCTAGGTGGCCTCTGTCCTGGTCTTTGGCCCTAGGCTCAGACGGCCTGAATGATCTCTCTCATGCAGTCTTTGCTAAAAAAGATCTGGTGTGAATAATTGAAGCCCCACTCCTGTTCCTGCTCGGCAGATTTCCGGTGCCAAGCTGATCATCATTTCAGCACCAGCAGAGATGTGCTATTTCTGTCCCTGACAGCCACTTCCTTCTTGGGAAAGTGACCTTGAGGGGCTGCAGGTGAGCGAGGAGAAAGGGCTGTGCCAGGACGGACTTCGTGCCTGTGTGGAAGCTGGATGGTCTCCCTCTGGGTCATTCCTTGGGAACTTCTCCCACGCTCCTCCCGATCCAAGGTAGACGCAGGTCATTCAGATGCCTGGGCTTTCATCTTTCCCTCTCCTCCTCAGGGACCACTTTGTCTAGTGATAGACTCGCTGCCCTTCTCCTTTGGAGCTTCCCTCACCTGTCAGCTGATTCAAGATATCACATGGAAGTGAGACATGGAGGGGACAAAATGAAATGGAACCAGAAAGGAACTGCTGAGAGGCATGGAGCACTTTTACACTGCCTTAACCACACCACGTGACTCTAAACAGGAGCCTGGGGTTTAAAATTTCTACTTGTGTTAGCCCAAGAAAGGTTGTACAGCCACCTTCTTGGTTTAAACAATCAAGTGCTCGATGTTTCAGGGGCTGTTGGGCCAGGATGTGAATTACTCAGGATCCCCAGCTTTACCTCTCGCTCTGTCCTTGGGCCAGTTCTGTCACTGGTTCTTTCAGAGGAGTAGACAAAGCAAAGAAAGCTTTCTCGGCCATGGAGTTTGCTGTTTGCTAGTGCCCTGGCAGAGATGCCTGTCTCCACAGTCCTGCATTGGTGGCTGAGTGCATGTGTGCGTGCATATGCATGTGTGTGTGTGCATATGCATGTGTGTGTGTGCATGCACACTTTTTTCTGACCTCAGTTTCAAGCTGTTGCCTCCCTGATGTGTCTGTTTAGTGACTTGGACCAGAGAGATCGCCAGTACTGTGTGGGATGGGAGTGAACGCAGACAAGTCTCTACAGAAGAGGGTAAAGTGGAGCTGAGAAGAAGCAGGGAATCTTGCACCAGCCTGTCCAACAGCTGCTGTGCCCCTCCCTGCCTCAAGCCCCAGAGGGATAAGGCTCACTTTGTTGACTCCCTGAAGTGCAGAAGGGTAGGGCAAGAGGTGCCCAGCAAGCCTTTAGGCAAGCACAAGGCCCTGACCTTCACTGACTCTCCACATCTCTCCTGCATGGCCCAGGCACAGGGCTTGGTTCCCTCTGGGCAGGCCACCAAGACTAAGTGACAGCCAGGTTGAGATGCAGAGGCTGAAGACGTTCATTCTTCATGGATCAGCCTGGATGTCTGGACAGATCTCATGAATGGATGGTGTGAGAGGAAGTGTGGAATGGGAGGCTGTGATCGGTGGCTTGGAGAGCACAGCGTGGTCAGGTGCTAAAGCTTAGGCTTCCCTTCTGGCCTTTGAGATGGCCAAGGAGAAGAGCTCCTATGATTACACTATTCTCCAAACACTCCAATAATTCTGGGTGTCTCCCACTAATGCCTGGGTGACCCACACACTCACCCAGACACTGTCGTTCAGCCTGTAACCTTTGGATGGAGCACTGGACTCTGTGACCCTCGAGGTCCCTTCTAAACTGAATATGCTCTGACCCAGGTGTGCTGTTCTTTCCTTACTATAATGGGAGCAAGGAGGCATTGAGATACCTGAGGCTTCTAGGGTCCCCCCACCATACCCCCATATCTTGCCCTAGGGTTCTGGGCTAGGTGCTGCAAGGAGCCCTCCCTTGTTACCAACCAGATCTCTGAAAGCCACTGCTCCATGAAGACCTCTCCAGAGATGGAGGGCAGGGTGTGCCCTGCACACATCCTCCCCCTTGGCCTCTGGTCCCTCTGCCTCCCATCAGGCTTGTCCTCCCCAGGGAAGCAGACTCTTAGAGGTGATTCCAACAGATTGTAATGCACAGTCCAGCTCCAGGCATTACTTGCTCCACATCTCAGCCCAGTTTCGTCATCTGGAAAATGGGAGTGAATATGACCTCTTTGGATGCAGAAGAGTGAGGTGGGTGACAGCGTGGGCTTGGAGGCAGACCACATGCCGCTCACCAGCAGTGTGTATCATGCATTTTAAAACTCTGCATTTCTTCTGCCTCCACATCCCTACATGCGGGCTGTGCGCACCTGCTGGGGTGAGCAGATACACCAGGGCTGGCCCTGCTACAGGTTCCCCTTGCTACCCTCCCCTGACTGTGATCTAATGATATTCAAATGCACCAATGGAATCCCCTCCTGCCTTTTCTGATGGTGCCATCCTGACACTCACTCTCTGTTCCCTGCCTGCTTGGGGAGCCCTAGTTCTCCACCCGTGTGACCCCCCACCCCACTCCTGGTGGAGTGTGCAGTGAATCTGTCTAGGACAGGGTGTCTGATCTTTTGGCTTCCCTGGTCCACACATAAAACACGCTAATGATAGCTGATGAGCTAAGAAAAATAAAATCACAAAAAAGTCTCATGTTTTGAGAAAGTTTGCGGATTTGTATTGGGCCGCATTCAAAGCTGTCCTGGGCTGCAGGCGGCCCGTGGGCTACGGGTTGGACAGGCTCGGTCTAGGACCTATGAATCTGGTAAACTCTGTTGTCCTGTGCCTCTCCTGTGCCCCCTCTTGTGGCCACACCTGACTGACCATCACCTAAAAGAACACAACTGCCAGGTGACTCTGGCAAACCGCTTCACCTGCCTCTGCTGTTTCTTCCCTGTCCGTACACAGAGTAAGAGTTGCTGCTCTTCGGGGCAGGGCGAGGACTCAGTGAGTTGATGCGCATGAGTGTTGAGCACGGCACTTGCTTGGCACAGAGTTCAGATTACCGGGACTTTGCAGGTTGCTGTAGTGAGGATACAGGGAGGTGGCTCTAGTCAATAGTGGCCATTTGTGTTCTAATTGGGCTCAGGGAGGAATGCAGGGCCTGTTTCCCAGTGCTGCAGAGGAGCACTGGCCTTTAGTGGCTCTACAGAACCAGGACAGATGGCTCTGGGTCAGAAGGAAGGTGCTCGGTGGGGGCTTCTGCATTCCTTCTCGAGCTGTCCAGAGGTGAGTCCTGTCCTCTCCGAACTAGATGACCCAACGGAAGGAAGGAGGCAGGTGAGGGCAGGCGGCTCAGCAGCCTGCTCATGGGCAGACCTCCAGGCCTGAGGTCCAGAGGCCCAGCCTGAAGCCTGAGGCCAGGCTGAAGGCCCTGCTTGCTAAGGGGTGCAGAGCCAGACAGGATACAAACAGGCTTGCTGACACTGCAGAGGAGAGGGGTTCTCTCTCTGGGCCCAACTGCACTGATCCCCGTAAACCTCATGGCTAGTCAGTGCCACCCACAGGGAATATCCTTAGACACCCTACATGCCTGGTTTTAGTCAGTCATGTCATGTGCCTTCATCCGGCTACGTTGGTCAGATCTGGGATGGGCTACGTGGCTCTCAAGCACCTCAGCTGACCGACCTGCATCGCCCTGCTGGAAATCCTCATGGTAGGCCCCATGTGGGGGTGGGTGGTGGCGTGGCTGGCTCTCAGCACACATGTCCCACCTGCTGGAAAATAGCTCAAAATCCAAACTCTGGGGGCCTTCAGTTTAGGAGACTTAGGAGATAAGCAACCAGTTTTAACACATGAGCCTAATTTAGATTCTAACTCAAATGTAAACACAATGACAGCTTATGGTTCAATTGGGAAGATGTGAAGCTGCCTGGGTATTTCATGATATTAAGGAATGACTGTTAATTGTTTTAAAGTGTGATAATGGTAATGTTATCACGTTTTCTAGAAGAGGGTCCTGAAGTTTTAGAGGTACACACTGAAACACTAACAGATGACATGCTGTCTGGGACAGTTTCAGAACCACCCTGGGGTTAGGAAGCGGGCAGGATGCAGGTGAGAGAGTGGATGGAACCAAGATCGGCTATGAGATGGTAATTGTTGAACTTTGGGTGAAGGGAAGACAGAGCTTCATGAAAAACACTCGTTATTTCTGTATATCTTTGAAAACTGCCATAATAAAACCTAGAAGGAGGAAGGGGAAGAGGAGGAGGAAGAGGAGGAAGGAGGGAGAGGAAGGGGAGGAGGGCAAGTAGGAGGAGAAAGAGAATGAGAAGGAAAAGGGATAAGGATGAGGGGAAGGGTAGAGAGGAGGGGAAGAAGGAGAGGAGCAGGAAGAAGAGGAGAAGAAATGGAGGAGGAGGCAGAAGGGGAGTGGGAGAAGGAGACAGAGATGGAGATGTGGAGAAGGAGCTGCCACTGCAGCTACTGAGACGGCCCTGCTTGCTTGGGTCCTAGGAACCCGGAGACCGTGGCAAACACCAGACCCAGGAGCCGCCACCCCCTCTCTGGCTCTCCCACAGCCTCAGCCCCTCCCACTCCAGGGCTGGGGCCCCTCTCGCTTGCTGGAAACCTGACTGGGTGGTGCAGGGCTCCCCCTCCCTGACAAGCACGGGGTGGGCACTGACCGTGGAGAGGCAGCCCTTCTGCTCCCGGAGGATGGCACCGAAGCCCAGGAAGCCGGTCACCATGACAAGTGCGCCCGCAAAGATAAGGATGTAGGCGGAGGCGGCAAAGGTGCTGGAGGCCAGGACGCTGAGGTAGCCACTCTTCTCCACCAGGGTCCAGATGCCCACAGCCAGGACGGCTGCTCCCCCGACCTGCAGGAGACCACTGGGTTAGAGCAGGGGGTGGTGGGGGCCTCAGCAGCTGCCATTTATTCAATGCCCACAGGGCGCCAGGCACTTCTTTTGCACCGGCTCATTCATTCCTCCAAAGGAGGCGAGAATGGTATGGTTACCCAATTTTATAGATGAGGAAATCGAGGCTGAGAGAGGTTAGGAGACTTGTCCAAGGTAAGCAGCCTGTAGAGCCAGGTTTGGAATCCAGGTCCGACTGTGAATTTGGTGCTTTTTACTGTGGTGGCCTACTGCATATGAGGCCGGGGGAGAGGACTGCAGTTTCAGCGATGACCAACGTATCTGAGTCCCTCTGCCTCCCTGATTTTTCACCTCCCCAACTCCTGCCACCCTTGGTTCCTCTCCCCTCAAAGCACTCCTTCCCTCTGTCCACACTTCCCCGGTGGGGCTTGTTCCAGCACCGCCCCTTGTTTAATCCTTATGTTTGCCCATTTGGGAAGCACAGCTGGGCTTTTTATCCCTACTATACATAGGAAGAAACTGAGACCCATGGGGGAAAGGTAAATTGCCCGAGGTCCTGCCTCTAGTTGGGGGCAGGGGTAGGGGCAGAGGCAGGACGAGAACTCAGAGCCCAGGGCCTGCCCACTCAGTCACGCTGCCTCCATGATTGACGAGTCAGGGTGCTTGACAGGCTGGAGCCGCCTGGGACTGCAGGAGGAGAAACTTTTTTGCTAACTGTCTGATTCTCCTTTGGTCCGGAGAAGAAGGGAGGGATAGATAGGACCCTCCTGACTTGCAGATGGGGGGACACCTCCTTAGAAACTGGAGTTGGGAAATAGGGCAGGGATGGCTCGGCTTGGCTGATTCTATTTGCAATGAAGCCAAGTTACGCTTTCTGTGACTGTTGGACCCGGCAGGGCATAATGTGTGTGTATGCACACATGCACAGCATCTTCAGCATGCCAGGTGGGGAGTACGAGGGTGTTTGCCCAGGATTTGGGGACAGAACCCCTGGGACCTCTGACTGTCTCTGCCATCTGCTCCTGGGAAGGTGGACTTCTGCCAGCTAGTCTCCCTGCCCCCATTTAAGGATGGGTCTCTTTCCTCTAATGGGTGAGGAATGCTTCCTCAAGGGGTCCTGGGTGTGGTCAAAGCTAGAGAAGTGCCCTGGGCCCTGTCCATGCCCCCTGAGCCTTGTTGCCGAGAGGAGCTCCCCATCTGCCCCAGGAAGACTCCACACAACCTACCCTGTCATTTCCCAGTTCTCCTTCTGGGCATTCACAGACATTTGTGGATCTAACAAACACATATTTACCATTTTCTCTTCTGAGCTTTGCAACAGTTCTGTGGGCATGCAGCAGGGTGGCAGGGCACATATTCTGCATTGTGCAGATGAGGAAATTGAGGCTTGAAGAGAATAAGAATGTGCCCAAGACGACACCATTAGAGTTTCAGAACTGAGATTCAAACCCACGTCTCCTGAGAGAGCAAATCCACGACTCTACCCAGATCCCACAGACTGGGCTGGGCCTGCTCCTCTACTTCTCCGTTTGTAACAGATACTATTTCTTCAAAGTGCCATTTTATCTCCACTGGCACCTCCACCAGGTGAAAGAGCCAGGTGGAAGGACACCATCTGGGCTACAGCAAACAGAATGGGAGTGGCTATCAGGCAGATTTCTTCAATTCCATGATGCACACATTTTTCTCTCACATTTTAACATCTCTACAATTGGGATGTATCTTATGACTGATGGTATTTTATAATTATACTTGGCAGTTTTTCTTAGTGGTACAAAAAAACAAATAGTGTATCTTACCACTGATGATATCTTAGCTTCAGTGAAATCCTAGAATAGGTTTTAAAATTCTCTGTGGGTATAGGTTATCTGTGGCTCACACAACCTCCATGACCAGTGAGGGATTTCCTGAATTTGGGTCAACAAAATTGTGTAAAGTGAGGGTTTGCAGCCAAATATCCTGCATGGAATTCTTTTTGCCCCCTTCAGCATGCCTGGAAGGCTTGGGTGAGGGTCCCAACTTTGCATAACTAGCGGTCTGACCTCAACATAGTCCCTTAACCTCTCTCTGGACCTCAGCTTCTTCATCTCCTAAATAAGGGATGTATTAGACCAGTGGTTCCCAACCTGTAACTACTAAGAACCCCTTTGATTACTTTTCCCCATGGATCCAATGTTTTGAGGGCCTCCACCCCTCTCCCAGGCTTATCTAGGTGGTTCCCAGCCTATAACTACTGGGAAGCCCTTTGATTGCTTTCCCCAGGATCTAATGTTTTGAGGGCCTCCACCCGTCCCAGTCCTTAGGCTTAGCTGTAAGGAATGAGAAGGTTTCATTCCTTCAGAAGACCTGCTTGGGACATGGTCATCTCTTTAGAAAACAAGCTTTTCTCTGGGCAGGAAAATGAACACTGCTCACTGTTGGATGGGTCACCAGAGGGGGTCACGGGAGGACAGAAGTCAGCAGCCTGGGTTCTAGTTCTGACTGTGCGCCTGACTAACCACACGCAGCCCCTCTAAGCCTCAGTTTCTTCATCTGTAAACTGGGGGCACTGGATGGGAACATCTCTGAGGTCCCTTCCACATGGTTAAACTGCCCCTCTTAGTACTGGAGGTCAAGCTTCTGCCAAAGAACCTCCGGCAAGATGGTTCTGAACCAGTGGCTCCTGGCTGTCACTCAAGCCATCTGGAAACTGCCTAAGTCAGCAGAGAGCAGCAGAAGAGGCAGGAAGAGGGACTGATGGGGTGGGGAAAGATCTGACACCACTGAACTATTCAACAACCATTGGCATACAGTTGATTCAACAGTATTTGGCGCTTTACAGAAACTGGTGTGGTATTCCGTGAGGGTAATAACCACATTTTCCTTTTCTTTTTTTTTTTTTATTGCTCTGTCGCCCAGCCTGGAGTGCAGTGGTGCGATCTCGGCTCACTGCAACCTCCACTTCACAGGTTTTCAAGCAATTCTCCCACCTCAGCCTTCTGAGTAGCTGGGATTACAGGCATGCACCACCACACCTGGCTAATTTTTGTATTTTTAGTAGAAACAGGGTTTCACCAAGTCAGTCATGCTGGTCTCGAACTCCTGACCTCAGGTGATCCACCCGCCTCGGCCTCCCGAAGTGTTGGGATTACAGGCGTGAGCCACCAGGCCTAGGCAATAACTACATTTTTCAAAGCCATAGCCTGTGGCTGACTAGCCGGCAAGCCCTGCAGAGGGTGAAGCCAGGCAACGAGGATGCAAGCCGGCCAGGAGGGGCGGAGCAGGCCACCCCTGCTGTGTAATTTTAGGAACTTTCCGTTCATAGGAAAGAAACATGATGGGGTGAAGCATTAACCTGAGTGGCTGCACATGCCTAAGGGCTGAGAGAAATAAGGCAGCAGACCTGGAGGAAAGCAGGCAGAGGGTATAAAAGTGACTGTAGGCGTTTTTCTTTGTGTCTTGCTACCACAGGGCTTCCACAATGAGGGAAGGAAAGGGATGGGGCAGGAGCCAGGACCACTTGAATCCCAATACAGAAGGATCCTCTGGGCAGGGGAGTTCTCCACCCTCAGTGAGGAGGAGCCCATGGCTCAGGACGCGGGAAATGCACAGGGTGACGGGAAGTGCACAGGGTGATAGCAGACTTTGTGTTTACTGGCCACCTGCTACATGCCAAGCCCCACACTGGACTGAAAAGCCTTTGGGGTTGGACAGGAGCTCACCCATGGGAACCACACTCATCATCTGTGCTCCTCCTCCCTGCTCAGTCTCATCCATGGTGCCATCACCTACCAACCTCAGACACCGCAGGGTCACTATAGGCTCCTTCTCCTCTCAACGACAACCATGTGCCAATTCCCCTCTGCCCTCAAACCTGTCTCCATTTCCCCGCCACACTGCCCAACTTGGTTCCCCACCACAGTCGGCTGCCGGGTCCTGACTCCTGCTCCAGCCACAGGCTGATCCCCCAAGGCACCCCCGGCTGAGAAGTCCCCACCAGCTCCCACGCCCAGGGCACCCAGCCCAAAACTCTTTCACATGGCCTCGGGGCTCTTACTGTCTGGCCTTAACCTGACTTTTTGGCATCATCTTCTGGTATTTTCCTTCCCCCACACCTGGGTTTTTTTTTTTGTTTGTTTGTTTTTTTTTTGAGGCGAAGTCTTCCTCGGTCACTCAGGCTGGAGAGCAATGGCGCGATCTCGGCTCACTGCAACTTCTGCCTCCCAGGTTCAAGAGATTCTCCTGCCTCAGCCTCCTGAGTAGCTAGGATTACAGGGGCGTGCCACCACGCCTGGCTAATTTTTGTATTTTTTTTTCCTGGGTTTTAATCACTTTGAACTAAGTAGTTGCTTTTTCTTGAAAACAGTGTGGTTACCTAATAACTCAGGCACTATTAGCAGAGTGGGAAATAGGGTGAACTCTGGGACGTGGCGCGGTGTCTGAGTCCAAGCCCCTCTGTTTACTGGCTGTGTGGATTTGGATAAGCAAGACAGCCTCTGTGGGCCTCAGGGAGGCTCTTATTCCTGCCCACCTTTCACACATTGTTCTCTCTGCCCTTCCTCTTCCATTGAACTCCTACACACCCTCTAAGGCCCATTTTGAGATTTTGAGTGTGGCACCTGCTCTGACTGTCCTGGGCAGGTGAGTTCATCCCTCTCCTGCAAGCCTGTGGTGCTGCTCACTTCACAGCAGCCCTCGGCACTTGGGGCAGGGGGCCCCTCACTCCCCTCAGAACACAGCCCAGCACATGGCCTGGCACCGGGGAGCCGCCCCAGTGAGTGTGGGACTCAGTGGATGGGGCTCTGCAGAGGGCTGTGGAAATGGCACCTGCTCCCCTACCTGCCTCTGTCTGCTGAGCTCCTAGGGCAACAGCTAGTGTTTCTCTTTCCTGCTTTATGGCTGTTTTGATTTTTAAAGGGGCAGTCTACAAAGTCCCAGCAGTCCCAGTGAGGAATGGGTTTTTCTCTGGGTCATTAAGAAGAGGCTTCTGGAAAGGCTGGGGTTGCGCCCTAGGTATCTTAAGGTCAGACTGATGCTTGGTTACTCTCATTCCTTCTTTCAACCAATACCCACTGTGCACCTGCTATGATGATGCCAGGCTCTTGGGCCATCATGGGGCCCATGCCTGACACTGCCACTGCCCCTGCCCCAGGATCACTTGTAGGACACTGGGTTGAAAGACCTGACTTAGTAATCACCAGGGTGCTATGAAGGAGAAGTGAATGGGTCTAATATGGGGAGCAAACACAGCGTGGGGGCTCAGGGAGAGGACTGGGAGACCAGGTCTGAACAAGACTCAACTTCTTTTAAAGAATGGTTTCCCATTCCCACATCAGAAGAGTCAGCTGAACCCTGGGCTGCAGTCCTGATACAGCACAGCTGAGCCCTATGCCCACACGCAGGCAGGCACCCCAGTCCCACGCCCGAGCTGCCGAGCTCTCCAGGAGGGCACACAAAAGCATGCATCAGGTGCTGCTGCTCACCCTCCTCATGAACGACCTTCTCTGAGTGCCAGGCATGCATTTCTCTCCGGCTCTGCCCATGCTCCTGCTGCCTTGGTTTATGGAATCTTCAAGGATAGGCTTGTCATGCTAAGGGCTATTTTCCACTTTGAGGCATCCTTGTTTTTGGCTCTCTGCCTTTAACCTCAGAACACTACCTCCTCTGCTGTCTTCCCCACTCCCATCTACCCCTATAACAAGAGCAAAATCTCATGAGTCTTACTGAAGGGTGGAGCTGGGAGGGAACATGTGATCATCTGTTCATCTTCCAAACCCAGCTCAGAGCTCAGAGGAAACCTTCCTTGGAGCTGTCCCTGCCCCATCTCCCAGCAAATCATTCTGTCCTCTGTACCAACTCCATGTCTTGCACATGTTTGTATAATTACACTCATAGTCTATTTATTTTATTGGATACCTTGTGTGCCTCCTCTTTTAGCCTCTTGATTAAATCTCGTTCATCTTAATATCCCTAGCAGAGGGCTACACATGGATGGAAGGAAGGAAGGAAAGAAGGAAGGGAGGGAGGGAGGGAGGAAGGGAGGACAGGAGGACAGAAGGAAGCAGGGGAGGAAGGGAGGGAGGGAGGAAGGGACTGATTGATTTCAACCCCTTTTATATTCTGGATGGAGAAACCAAGGCCTGGAGAGAAGTGAGTTTTCCACAGTCCCACAAGAAGGCCAAAGGAAGTGTGGAGAGCAGAAATTAAGAATCCTAATGCTCAGTTTAGTGCCCATTTAACCAACCGGGCTGCTGACCCACAACGAAGCTGCTTGGCCTGGGAAGCAAGTCACTGGTGTCTGGGCTACAGCAGGCCTAGAGTCCTGAGCTACAGCAGAGCAGCTAGAAGGGGTTACTGTAGGCTTCGTCCTGACTTGTCTCATCTGCCATGGCGCTGTGCAGACCAAGTGCACATCCCCCTCAACTGTGACTCTGTCTCCCAGCAGATCCTGACAGCACAGAGGGGCAGAAGACCATGGTGGGGGGGCGGTGGTCCCAGGCCATTCAGCATCTCAAGTAGGCGTGTAGCAGAAAAGCCATCACCTGCTCTTTCTTAGATGGCAAGCCTGGAAAGTGGGCAGTGGCCACATTCGGTGGGATGTCGATGTACCAAGAGAAGGGCTTTGAGCCTCGGCAGAAGGTGCTTCCCTCCCACGGCCTCCCTGACTCCCGAAGTGATGCTCTCAAGTCATCTCACTCCCCTGCTGGGGCTCAAGTCCTCCGTCTTCTCTGCTACCTGTCTTAGCCCCATGTATCCCTGGTCCCTGAGGAAATACCAAGGCCTCAGCTAATGCTCAAGGGCGGGACACAGCTTGTGGAGCAGAGGCAGCCTCTCCAGGCAAGGGAGCAGCTGCTTCCTCAGTGCTCCCCATAGCCTGGCAGAGCGCCTGAGAGGCTAGAAAAGTTTTGATTATTAACACAGCCAAGCGGCTGACTAAAATAATAAGTTAGAGAACACCATTGCAGGGGCGATGGGAGCCGAAGGGAGCCATGGAAGAAAAGGGAGGGGAAAGAAACACATCTCCTGGGTGGCCACAGAGGAAACCCTGGACCACATTTTCTTTTACGGTTGCAAAGGAGGCAAGAAAGTGTCAGCATTTTTGGTTCCTTCCCTGCTCTGTAGGATCATCCAATCAACACCAGCTTAACTGAAATTCTAGGTGGTGGAGGCCGGGGCGGGAGGCGGGAGTGAGGGACAGGGTGGTGGGGAAGGATTGCCATCTGAAGGCTGACCTCGTTCAGGTGGAGGTGAAGATGACTGAATTTTTCAAACTTTGGAATGTGACCCATTAGGGTTGTGATTAAGTTTAGTGGGTTGTAAGCTGCACTAAAAACAAAAAGAAGGAAATAATCAAAATAGAAAAAAAATCTGAGCGCATCACGCAACATAAGGGTAAACTTACTTGGGTGAACAATGTTTCACATAACTATTTCTTATGCTTCCACGTATATCTTACATGGGACATGATCCCAAAAGTCTTAAAGCCAGCGCTATTGGAGACTGAGGTTGAACCTTGGTCTCCTGTTTACAATGAAGAGCTCTACCATCCACCATCCACACGTACCAGATGCCTTTTTAGGTTAAGGACTCAATCTTGACAATTTCACCTTTTAAATCCCTTCACTCTCTGCAAATACTTAGATCCCCATTGACACTCCCACAGTGCAAGTCACCACCATCTCCTGCCCTGATCAAAGCAAAGTCTAGAGGGAACGTCAACAGTGGCTGTTCCTGGGGTGGCCAGTGGTTTGGGTTGGACTGGGTCCCCCAAAAGATATGTTGAAATCCTTACCCTTGGTACCTGAGAATGTGGCCTTATCTGGAAATATGATATTCACAGATGTAATCAAGTTAAGATGAGGTCATTAGGGTGGGTCCTAATCCAACATGACTGGTGTCCTTGTAAGAAGAAAATGTCACGTGAAGACAGAGACACACAGGGACAACAGTGTGTGATGACAGAGGCTTTGGAGACTGTAGCGATGCAGCCACAAGCCAAGGAGTGCCAAGAATCACCAGCCACAACCAGAAGCTGGGACGAGGCAAGGAAAGATTCTACCCAAGTCTCAGAGGGAGCTTGGCCCTGTGACACCTTGATTTCTGACTTTTAGCCTCCGGAACTGTGAGGGAATAAATTTTTGTTGTTTAAAGCCATCCAGTGTACGGCACTTTGAAATGAACATAGTGAGATAAAAACAATTTTCATTTTATGATACTTTTTAATATTTTAGAGATTATCTGTAGTGGATACATAAGACTTTTATAATCAGGAAATAAAGTTATTCTTAAAAAGAAATGCTTACTTAGCAAGAATCCTTATCGCCCTATTGGATTTGTCCCTCAGAATGGAAACCATCTCTACCACACAGTTTCCTATCCATATCAACACAGCTTTATTACTGCACCATCTTCATCGTCACGACTTCAGTATTGCAGGAAACTCTCGTCCAGGAAGGTAAAAGTGACAAATTATTTTATTATTCCTTTCAGGAACTTTGCAAACATTTAAACAAATAGCAGACTGCACAACTTTTTAATATATAGCATCTAATGACTGGTCTATTCTCCAAGGCTCTTCAGAACTCTTGCCTTGCCATGTCTACCCACCCTAAACTCTCACGTCACGGTCTTTTCCAATCTTAAGCAAGCCCCTGTAGGAAAGACCCAGAAAACTCAGACATGTCCCCCACCTTTGCACTTGCCTTTCTGAGATGCTTCTAAGACTCTGTCAAGTGTCTTCTCCCTTACCATGGTAGCAGGAAGCCCAGCTATGCCTTATCATGGGTTGATTGGCTGGTATTTTTAGGCATTTGACATCTAATATATTCAAAATACTACATTCATTGAAGGCAACCCCAACAGGCTAGAATTTATCATTGAATTGTAGCTGGGGAAACAGATTCCTGGAAGTTAAGTAGCCTGCCCAAGGCTCCACCATTAGTAGTCAGCAGAGCATGGGTCCAGCTGCCTGCAAAGCCTGCACTCTTGTCACCCTTCTACCTTCTCAAATTTAGTGAGACTGTCGTAACAAATATATACATTCCAGTGTCTATTTTCGGGAACTGATGGTATTCTGCTCCCAATTACCCAGATGATTGCTTCAAGTGGACAGACTACACCCCTCTGGAAGACCTCACCCAGACAGGCTCCTGAGGGGAGTCGCCATAGAGATCATTTTCATCACAGGCAGCAGTAGTCGGAGCCTCCAGGACTTCTGTTTCTCTGCCCTGGGCCTGGAGAATGTTAACCATGAAAGGCGAATGGACTTCAGTGGAAAACAAGTTATTATTTCAGGCAGTCACATTTTCCAAAAGGCACTGGTGCAACAAGTTAGTGGGGAAGAAAGAACTGGACCCTTCATACAGTAGGGCTGGAACACAAAGCTTATTTTTATGTTTGTGCCTCTATTCAGATACCAGGTGGTACGAACTCCATGCCAACCTGCAGACCCAATTCTTCTCTTCCTTCTCAGTAGCAAATGTACATATTCGCTTTAAAGTGGGAAGAGTTCATCCATGGTTGATCGTTGATCTTTGATTTGGAAGATATCAACCTCAAAGTGGTGACACAAAAAAAAGGTGGCTTGACTCATTCAGTGTTCTGGGAAGAGGATGTGTGTGCAAAATTCACTCACCCAGAAGAAGAAGTTGAAGACAAAGAGTAAGTACTTCAAGTAGACGATCAGCCAGTCGTCCTGCTCAGTCTTATAGTGGGCCATGGCTGCTGGGCCTGCAGAGAAGACACATATGCTGGGCCAGGGAATCACCAAGAACCACCTTGTCCTTCCCAGTGCCAGAGGATCTTGGCAAGGTTCCCTTCGAAGGACTCATTAACCTATCTGCCGGGGGACTTTGAGGCTATGCATGGGTAGCATGGAGCAAAGATCTGGGAATTGCTAAGGACATCAAATAGAGGTGAAGTGGGGCAGAATCTTCCAGAACTTTAGATGTCAGTTTTGTCCTCCTGACAAAGTTCTAACCTACAATTCTCCCACAGACTTTGCGCTGGTCTTACTGTATTCTTAATCTCTTGTCCTGTCTCATCAGGGTTGCAGGACACAAGTTTACCTGTCTTACACACACACACACACACACACACACACACACACATATTCAGCATCACTACTTTGCATAGGAAACTTGCACTCTGCATCATCTGAAAAGGACTCTGAATCCACAGGTGCGGCATGAACCCCAGAGCAGAGCACCTGTGCTGGAAAGGGCCCCAGTGATCACCCAGTCCACCCGACCTGGCTGCTGCAGCTTGACTTTCCAGATGAGGAAGCAGGCCCAGACAGGCCTGGTGGTTTGGCAGGAAGAAGTACAAGAGCCCCTGGAGTCTGACTCCCTGGGTTCACACCCTGATCTGTCACAAGATGTGTGATACTTCGGGCAAGTTATGTGACCTCCCATCCCTCAGCATTCTCATCTGTAAGTGGGGATAATGACACATATATCATAGGGTTGTTTTGAGGATTAAATGAAATAATCTATGTGAAGTGTTTAACATAGTCCTTGGCATGTAGTAAGTGTTCAATCAATGTTACCCATTATTACATGTCATAGAACTGGGGTGACGGCCTAAGACTCCAGTCCTAAAACTCCCGTCTTTACCCCAGCACCATGCTATCTCTTGTCCTGACACCCACTGATGGACTCTCTGGGAAGTATGACATCAACGGTGGTGATAAAGGCAGAGAGGGCCTACTGTGCCTGGTAATCTTGTTTGCTTCTCTGTCTGAACCTCAGAAAGTCTGAAGCCTTTGTAGCTTCCCCTTCTTGAGCTACATTTGCCCCGGGAACGTGCACACCCACACTCACAGAGTAGTTGGTCTTTAAGAAATTACCCCCATTTTGGGAACCTCTTTTATTTCAGAACCATAAGCAATGAGGCACAGCTTATGCTTATTCAGGCAGACGATCAGCCAGTCATCCTGTTCAGTCTTATAATGGACCATGGCTGCTGGGCCTGCAGAGAAGACACATGGGCTGGGCCAGGGGGATTTAGCATTTCCATCTCTTCCTCCATTATTTCCAACCCCCAGTTGGGCCCTCCTTTCATCCTGTTCTTGCCTCCTGGACTGGTGCTTGGCCACGCCCCAGTTATTTCCTCTGAGCCACTGTTCTGCCTCTTATTTCAAGCTCATGGGCTCACTGAGACAGGAAGAGAGGAAGAGAGAAAAGACAATGTGGCTGACTTATTTGTGATTTCTATTTGCAGACTTTGAAGAAGGCAATTTAGGACTGCTAGTCTTCTCGTTAAAAAAAGACAAAACTCATTTTTCTCCAATTTAGTTTTCGAGGTAGGGTGGTAGAATAAATACAGAAGGAGAAAAAAAGAAAGCCTATAAGATATGACCGTGGATGGTGTCGGCCAGGGGATGTAACGGGAGCGATTTCACGGTCACGCAGTCAGTCCTGACAAGAGAGCAGGTGCAGCGTCTCCTGGGCCACCGCAGGCCCTTAGCAAGTGGCATAGTTTGTGGGGCCTGGCCACTCCTGTCTGCAGTCTCTCTCCCTGTGCACACCCCTCCCCTCCCAGGCAGGGCCACTGGGCTTCTGCCCCAGAACCTTCTCTCTACTTGCGGCAAAGGGGCCTGATTCACTTACTCAAACCACAGAGTCAGGACCCTGCCCTCTAAAGGAAAATTGTATCTTTTAAAAAGAACTTCAGGCAGAAGACAAGGCTTAAGGAAAAGAAACCATTCTAATGGTAAAATTTCGGTCATTAGTGGTAGGGAAGATAGAACCACAAAATGTCAGGGTCAGGGGAAACCTTTGGGCTCACTTAATTCAATCTTCTGCAGAAAGAATGAGGAATTTTACATATTTAAGATGTGTATTTAAAAATGACTTTTCTAAGGTCACATGGCTAATCTGTAGTTGAGTTTCCTATTCTCCACCATTCAGTGCTCCTTTCCCCAACACCACATGTGGGGCACTGTGCTGGGGGTGGCAGAGGCCCCAAAGAAGTGTCAGTACCAGCCTGCAGCCAGATGACTGGATCTGAAAGCTAGCTTTGTCATTTTACTGGCTGTGTGACCTTGGGCAAGTTATTTAACCTCTCTATGTAGCTAATATTTATGGAACACTTACTATGTGCCAGGCACAGAACTAAGTGCTTTACACTCATGATTTCAGTCCATCTTCCCAATACCCCTATGAAATAGGGTTATTCCCATTTCATAATATAATCAGGTTTAGACAGGTTAAATAATTAAACTAAAGTCACATAACAAGTAAATGACAAAGTCAGAGCTGAATAAAGAATCTCTGCTTCTGGGCTCAAGCTTTTACCCACTGTGCAGTGCTCACAGGACGAGATCTACCAGGGCAAAGGAGGAAGGGGAGGGACCAGAGACTGCTGGTCCCCCTAGTATTTGTTAGAATAGAACCTCTCAATTTTAGTTAGATACTTAGTCACCTGGAACAGACAACATTTCCCAGACTCCCGTCCTGCTAGAAGGAGGATTCACTGCTGGCCGGTAAATGGTATATAAGAAGTGGTATAGGCAACTTCTTACAAGGATCATTTTTTGACATATGTTTCACAGGCATTTGAAAAGAATGAGAATCCTGTCATTATAGGGTACAAATTCTGTATGTGTCAGTTAGATCAAATTTGTTAATTGTACTTTTCACATCTTCTATATCCTTACTGATACGTTCTATTGGCTATTGAAAAAGGTATATTCCAGACTCCCACTATGATTGTGAATTTATCTATCCCTTGCTTAATACTGTTAATTTTTGCTTCATATATTTTGTAGATATTTTATAGAGTGCAAAGAAATGTGGAGTTGTGATATCCTTCTGGTGGATCAAACTCTTCATCATTAATAAATGTCATTCTTTATGTCTAATAATCAGAGGTATCCTTAATGTGTGTGTGGGGGGGGATGTCTCTCTTCACCCTTTCTTTCTGTTGGTTGGAATGCTGATGTTATGGCTGGAGCTCAAGCAGCCATCCTGGGCCATGAGCTGGAAACCATGGGTTCACGGAGTCTGGGTCTCAGATGAGTTTAGAGCTGCCATACCATCCCTGAGCTGCTTACCTCCAGACTGAGTTTACATGAGACAAAGACAAACTTGTAGCTTCTTTCGGCTACATGTTTGAATATGCTATTGCTCGCAGCTAATATCACCCTGACACAGCAGAGGAAGCAGTGGGTACTAAGGTGTATAGGAGCATCCCATGCTGGGGCATGGCAGGTCTTACACAGCAAGACCAGAGATAATGCCGTGCAGTGGCTGCCAAGCAATTCTGACTGTACAACTGCCTCCACTAATTTATTGATAAATATTATTCATGTACTATTATCAATCTATATGTAGATATTCAAAGTTTAATTCTGCACTGTTTAAAGGTAAAAATAATTAGGGATACAGATTCTAGTAAGTCCTCCCTGCACCCCAGTGTACTGTCTGTCTCCACTTTGGAGGCCACTGGTACAGAGTATGAGTAGAGGGAGTGAGAGCTGATGGATATGTAGGGGGTCAAAAGTGACCTTACGTGCCAAGCTCTGAGACTTGGATTTGCATCCTGAAGATAAGGCTGACCCCAGGATGGTGGCGCTTAAGTCCAAGAAAGAGAAGGGGGTGGGGGATGGAGAGCAGGGCACAGACTCCTCAAGAGCACAGAGAGGAGGTTCCATCAGGCAGGCAGTGTGTGTAAGAGGCAGGGGAGGAAAGATTCTGAGGAGGAGCCCTGCTGTCTAAAAAGAGAGCCAGTGGAGGAAGAAGAAACCAGGCAGCAAAATGGTATGCGAGGGAGAGGGTAGAAGGAGAACCAGGGGAGTGCAGGGTCCTGGAAGCCAGGGAAGACAGGGTGGTCCACAGTGCCACATGCTGCCAAGAGGTCTCAGTCAAATGAGGACTAGCAAGGGCTCACCTTCATCCATGGAGGACAGGTGGGGGGTTAGGGCTGCACCATGAGGTGGGAGGAAATGAGACCGGGAGGTGGATATTTTCAAATGACAAGGCCAGGAGGGAAGCAGCTAGGCGGCCTGGGAAAGGAAGCTGATATGGTTTGGCTATGTCCCCACCCAAATCTCAACTTGCACTGTATCTCCTAGAATTCCCATGTGTTGTGGGAGGGACCCAGGGGGAGGTAATTGAATCATGGAGGCCAGTCTTTCGCGTACTATTCTCACGATAGTGAATCAGTCTCACAAGATCTGATGGGTTTATCAGGAGTTTCCACTGTTGCGTCTTTCTCGTTTTCTTTTGCTGCCACCATGTAAGAAGTGCTTTTTGCCTCCCACCATGATTCTGAGGCCTCCCCAGTCATGTGGATCTGTAAGTCCAATTAAATCTCTTTTTCCTCCCAGTCTTGGATACATCTTTATCAGCAGTGTGAAAATGGACTAATATTAGTAAATTGGTACCAGTGAGTGGGGTATTGCTGAAAAGATACCAGAAAATTTGAAAGCAACTTTGGAACTGGGTAACAGGCAGAGGTTGGAATATTTTGAAAGGCTCAGAAGACAGGAAAATGTGAGAAAGTTTGGAACTTCCTAGACACTTGTTGAATGGCTTTGACAAAAATGCTGATGGTGATATGAACAATAAGGTCCAGGCTGAGGTGGTCTCAGATGGAGATAAGGAACTTGTTGGGAACTGCAGCAAAGGTGACTCTTGTTATGTTTTACCAAAGAGACTGCCGGCATTTTGTTCTTGCCCTAGAGATCTGTGAAACTTTGAACTCGAGGGTATCTGGCGGAAGAAAGT